GACATAGAAAATTGAAGCATAAGTGGAGTATTTAGCCAAAACCAGCTGCCAAAATTCTCGCCTTCCTCTGGTAGACCGAGGTTTTCTCTGCTGCCGTTTCTTGTAAATTGGACCCAACAATAGCGGTCAGCCAGGTGTAGACATCGGGTGTGAATCCATTTCTGAGCAAGCCGTTCTCAATCAGTTTGGCACCCATAGCTGAACCTTTGTCCAAATTAAAAACTGACCTGGTCATTCTGTGGTGACCACCCTGGAGTTTACAGCTACAGCCAGGTCATCAGCGGCAGCTTCCCATGTTTGCAACATGACTGACTGATGTATTCTTAGGAATGTTCATGTAATCTGGGCAATTTTAAGCTTTATTAACCACTTGCCGGCTGTTCTAATTAAATAGCAGGGCCGGCTGCTTCTAGTCCACTTTTAAGCATCCTTTCCCGCAACCCCTCCACGTGGGTGCGGGAACGTTTGAACACTTTTTAAACAGCCGGCAACGGCTGTTGCATACAAGCATTCAGGCGGCTATAGAGCTGCCCAATCGCATGTATGGTGCGGGGAACTGTGCGCCCCCCTCTCCACTGGCTATGGCACGGCGGGTCTCTGTGGATCCTAGGGAGATTTGCACACTTCCAGCAGCTGATCTCCCCTCCTATCAACTAATTTGTAGGTTTGTAATTGGATTGGTGACTACCACCCTCCATCCCCCAATGCCCTCAGTACAGCCTGCTGTTTAATACTTGCCTTGCTTCCTATTCCAATGCTCTTGACTATGCATCCAGCACTGTACAACCTTATTCTCCTGATAAAGTATAAACCAGAAAATGTGCAATTGGCAAGTTGACTGGGCTGAAGGGGCTCATAGCAATAACATGGTTGCTGTCCAGTAGACTGTACACTGGTCTCAGGCCTTTGATGGCAGCAACAGACCCTTGCTGGCCAACCACTTTCTAATTGGAGGAACGTTCAGTTGGACTGGTGTGATGCGTATGTGATTGCTGTCGTACGCCCCCCCCCCCCCCGCTAAGCGGACATGGAAATTGACTTGGTGATCC